TGAGAAGATGTGGCTTAGAGACCTAACAATGAGGAAGGAAAGAAAAAAAGTTGGGCTGTGAATGACTGTCACTGCGGCGGGGGAGGGTGGTTGTATATTTAAAATTGTATTTGTATTTGTATGTTTTACTCTTGAAAAAATGTATAACTAATAAAGATTACTTTTTAAAAAAATCATAGAAATAGAAACCCCCACACTCTAAAGTAAATACAGACATCTACTCTTGGAGCAGGGTGACTATTACTAAAAGAAAATATCAAAAAATGTGTAGCTTTGCACATAATTTGCCTAGTAAGTAAGCATCTTGGGTGTTTGTGCAACCTCTTTCATTTTTTTCTTAGGGTTCTTTTTCCCACCCGTCTTGATGGTTTCAAATGCTAGAACGGAATGCATGAATTCTTGAGAAGAGTTCTGGCATCTGTTCCCAGGAGAAACACTATGAGAAGAGTAAAGGAGTGGTTTGCGATAGTAACACTCTTCCTGATTTTGCAACTGGTAAACTGACTTCTGTGTTATTTCAAAATTCAAAACAACGAAAGTGTTTGATCTGCTGGTCAGGGGTCATGGCAACTAAACTCAGAGGTATGCTGACAGTTTCCTAATAAAGGAATTGTCCTCAACAAAGCAATAGGGAAGTTGGTGAGAAATGTTTTCACTCAGGTTCTTGAAAAAAAAAAAGACATCCTGTTTCCCTTGGTGCTGTTCTTTTGAAAAAGGGGGGGGGGGCAAGAGAGATCAATGCTACCTCAATTTCTTCCTTAAATGATTCTTTGTGGGCATTTCTTATGCAAGATTAACTTGTAGCTCTTGTGGTGTCTCCCTTAGTTCTGTCACCTCTGTGGATGCAATCAGGAATAGATCCTTCCGCAGAATCTTTCTCCAAGTTATCTCCATGACTGCAGTGTGAGGCTTTATTAAACATTTTAAAAAACCCAATGGATCTGCTATTCTTCCAAAATGTAGCAAGCGTTCTCTAGTATTAAAGTCCAATTCAGTTCAGGGAAAGCCTGATTCATTGCAGATGAAGCTCTCAAATGCCCTTCAGCTTGATTCTTAAAGGTTTGTCTTTAGGATGTGACAGATTCCTCTGCTCTTTTGTCTAATGGTTTTATTTTGACTATCAAGTCAAACACATAAGGCATAATGCATCCAATAAACAGCTTGGAGCAAAAGGCACGTGTCAAGGAAAAGAATGACTAGCAGAAGAACCTGGGATTGGATGGGTTTGTCTCTATGCTGAATTTCACAGCAGAGGATGTTCCATCCTGAAAGCCCCCATTATGTCAATGGAAATATCTATGTAGGATACTCTGGATCTTTGAAAGGGCCGTAACCTCTATCAGATTAATAAAGTTGGAAGGGACCTTGTAGATCACCTAGTCCAATCTCCCCACCCACCCAAGCAGGAGATCCTATACCATTTCTGACAAATTGCAGTCCAATCTCTTCTTGAAAGCCTCCAGTGATGAAGCTCCCACAACTTCTGAAGGCAAGCTGGTTGATTGTTCTCATTGTCAGAAAATTTCTANGCACTCTAACCACTGCGCCACCTCGGCTCCTTAACTACTCAAAATTTTCGCTACCGGTTCTCCAGAACTGGTCAGAACGTGCTGAATACCACTTCTGACTGTATTCCAACATTCAAAATATCTAGCCAACCTTGGCTAATCTTGAAAAATGCAGCAGAATTGGATAGTTAATATATGGATGGGAGACTAGCAGTGAATCTCAAAGCTGTAGAATGGAAGGTAGAAACAATATCTTGGAAGAAGGCAGTGGGAAATGACTTTTGTATTGCTGCCAACTAAATTTTAAAAAATGACACGTCTAGAAAATAATGTATTTTCTAGAAATATTATGAGATTATATGAACACTGGTGAAGATGCGGTTTGTAGAGACACACACACTTAAGCATGGGTTATTTGGATATTCAGGTTATGCAGTAATTGCCATAAATATGCATTTTCCGTTTCATCCCCTAAAGCTTCAATGGGCAATCTGGAAATGGAACTCTAGAAATTGTTAAAATTCCTCAGACTTAGTCAACAAGCTCAGTGAATGAGGTGATCTAGGACATATATACCTGGCCTGTCCCCAAATCTTCTACTTCTTCAGATGAAGCAGCCAGAAATACCTACACAAGATGCATAAAATCTAAGATGAGGCAAGGTATCTGATGCTTAAAGCTGAAGATTTCACAAATGTTACTATCTCCCCCACCTCAAACTAAAAATACATTATTAATACATTTTTGAAGGTAAATTTTGGAGTTAAATGTAACTCCTATTTATTTCACAGATTTACTCATTCACTTTTTTTTGGTTACAGTATGGATGTGATTAGCCATTGATTGCTTCCAAGATGTTTTTCGATTTCCCAATTCAGTCCATGGCCCTGGTTTTTTCCTATCCAAATACAGACCAGGTTCAACTGCTTAGCTTCTGGATCAAAAGATGCTGCTACTTGCTGAGATCAATCCTATTTGGTGCTTTTTATCGATATCCCCAAGTCACCTCTAATCATAGTTGGGATTATTAGAGTTCCCCATCAGTTGTGTTATAATTGGCTGCGATACACTTGTGTTACACTTATTGTTGTTTCCCAACAAATTGTCTTGGGCTCTTTGGGTAGGAAATTTATGAAAAGCAAACAATCAATCATAGAGGTTAGCCAAAATGTTTCCTGGGTTATCTCCANAAGACAGCAGTGGCTGAAAGCTACTATCTCAGTCACTTGTACAGTGTAATCCAGAAACCTTAAGGAACTGCAGTTTTTGAAGACTTCAAAGTACTGTAGCACCTGCAGAAAAAGTGAGATGTGATATGGAGTCCAGAAGAGAAAAAATACGATTACCACCAGTAAAATCACTTTCATAGCTTTTTGTTTGCGCTGGTTTTTGCAGGACAGCAATGTTCTGATGATCTGCAGATAGCAAAAGCTCATGATGCACATTGGGAGAAGAAATCCAATGACGTTCATTTCCAAGTAGCTGAAAACAGGCCATATTATGTTAAGATGTTCTGGATACGATGAAGTACACTTTCTGTCAGACGACTTGTGGATGAATATAAAATGGGGGCTTGCAAAGAAAACTGCTAGGGCCCATACTGATATACTAGTAAGATATCCATAGGTGACTGTTCTGGATTTCATAACACACGTCGCCCGAACAATAGCCAGGTATCTGTCAATGCTTATGAAGGTGATGAAAAACATGCCACCAAAGAAGCCCACAGAATAGAAAGAAGAAACTATTTGGCATGCGAAGGTCCCAAGGGTCCAATCATGTATAATATAAGAAGCCCAAAAAGGAAGAGAAATCACAAAAAGAAGATCAGAGATGGCCAAATTCAGAAAAAATATATCAGTGATGCTCTTTTGGTGTCTGGCTTTCAGAATGGTGAGAACCACTAGAAAATTTCCTACCAGGCCAATGCTGAAGACCAGGCCATACAATATAGGCAGGAAGACTTTTCCTGACATCTGGATGTCCAGTTTATCACATGGAATGGCTTCGTCGTCCTCATAGGAAAAAGAAGTAGATGTTTCTTCATTGTTTTCTTCAGTCATGGTGAATATATGCTTAAAATAAAAATATAAATGAGAAACAGACGTGGCTATATATATATATATATATACACACACAGCACTACTAGGAATTCTATATTATAGAACATTTCTGTAATGTAGGCAAACATTATCAAGTTACTAAGTCAAACTTAATTTTACTAGTTAAATTTGTTCTGGGGAGAAATTTGAAGGGACTTATTTCTGAGTAAAACGCAGAGGAAAACATTGTAAATCAAACAGATTTCATTAGGACTTCATCATATTTAAGTTTTGCAGGATTGTTTTTTGTGTTTTAGTCTGAGCAACCTCTGGATTGCCAAGAGTTGTATTTAACTTGTTAGTATGTGCAAGGATTGTAGTGAGCAGAATTACAATATGAAATGGAAAGGGGTATGCTACATATATGAATTTGACGTTTCTTTTCTTTTTTATTGGCAGGAACTGTTGAGTAAAAAAACACAATAATATTTAGATATAGCAGGTGAGTTTTATTATGGTAGATCATGGGAAACTACTAATTGGGGTGATTGTGGTTGAGGATTGGGACATAAAAAGAGTTAGGGACTCTTTTATAACCAGAGGGATCTCAGAGGGATGTCTTCTCTTTTAACTCTTTCTAATAACATAGATTATATTGTGACTGCTCTTTTGGTAGCTTCATAAATGTTTATTGTCTCATTTTATGAAAATAATAGATAATATAATACTGTATTCAGTGATGGGATTCATTTTTTTTTATTACCGGTTCTGTGGGCATGGCTTGGTGGGTGCGGCTTGGCTTAGCAGGCATGGCTTGGCAGGTGTGGCAGGAGAAGAATACTGTAAAATCCCCATTCCCTCCCCACTCCAGGGGAAGGTTACTGCAAAATCCCCATTTCCTCCCGATCA